CCAGTTTTCTAGTGGTTGATTGGAGATAAGAGTCTCACGGACGTTTCTGCCGGGGCTGGCTTTGAACCGTGATCCTCAGATCTCAGCCTCCTGAGTAGCTAGGATAGGCGTAAGCCACCAGCACCTGGTGAAGGACAGTATTTCTAGGTGCTTGGATTGCTATTGTAGGCAAAGCCTTATAAAGGTTCCAATTTTTGAATCAAATTAGCACTGGTAAAAGCCTCCCTCCCCCATTCCCCAGGTATTCTAACCACTTTTGAAGCTGATAGCTGTGAATTACTGCCAAGGAGACAGACTTTCTTCCTTCTGGAAGTGGCTGTACAAGCCAGGTGAAGAAGCACCTGTTTCTTTTGAATTCTGGAAGCGCAAAGGGTATTGATGAGCGGTCTGATCCATTCCCATAAAACAGATGGGGACAACAACAATTGAGGCCATGAATCCAGGTGTCTAAGAAGTGCTCAGTCCCGCTCTGAAATCTCTGCCTTCCTCCCTCAATGGCGCCCTGTCTCTGACCCTTGTGTGAGGGAACATTATACTACTACCACACAGTGAAGTCAACTCCTTCTGACTTAGATTCTCCCACCTGGCTGGGAGCACCTGAAGGTAATGAGCTGACTGGTAGTCCCATCTGTGTTCCTACTGTCCTGCGGAGAGCTGGGCACGGAACAGCCACCAATAAAGGTGGTTTTGGATCAAACTTGTTCCCACAGAAGGGAACTGCCACGTGGTACCATTTTTCCCTCCCCTAGTGCCTAGGGCCACAGTACTGGAGACCCTAGAGTTGTCGCAACATGGGGGGAAGGGGCAGAAAAAGTCAGCATGGTGACCACACCCACACAACTACTTAGAAGACTGATCACTTGAACTAATGAGCTCAAAACCAGCCCACAAAGACTCCATCTCAAAAAAACAATACAACACAGAAAACACAAAACAGAACAAAGCGAAAACAAACAAGAACAAAGCAAGAAAAGCCTCAGCTCGGTTACAAATCACACAGATGACAGCAAGCAAGAAGGAATGCCTAGGCTAGCCCTACCGAGTGAGTCAGCCTTGGAGAATGTCCCCCCCCCCCCAGCTCTTTCCTAGTTCCCAGGGAGGGAGGAGGGCCAGGCAATCCCCCCACCTCCTCCCACCACAGCCTCTTCCTCCTCCTCCTTCCTTGGAAGCTAAGATGGCATGGCAGGAGGTAAGGGACTGGCCTGCCTCACTCAATGTGTATGCAATGTCTCTCTCAGGAACATACAGGACCTAGTCACTAGATTTTCTGGTTTCTTCTATGGGGAGACTTCCTTAAACTTCCTTAAAGCCGAGACTCTGAAGCCAGGGAAGGAGTGGGGAAACTCTTACCCTGTAACCACCTGGTTCCTGGAAGGCTGAAGATTTCCATTGGGTAATCCTAGGTCTCTCCCTGCCTCTCCTGAGACCTCAGCTTTAATATACACACAATAATTACCATCCTTTGGTATTTCGGAACATAAATAACAGCATCTGGGCTATAGAAAAAGCACCTGGTGGTCATGGAAGAACTTGGAATCTGAAGAAGGGAGGGGCTTCCAAAATTCTCTCCTGTTCCTCAGAAGAGAGATGGGGCTTGGGGTTTGAGACCCTTGGTGGCCTTCATTCCCAAGGTTGCTTTCTGGAGTCGGGTCTCAGGTTTAACCCGTCTATAATTTAATCTGCCAGAACTCCAGTGAGATAGAGGGAGTCTCTGCTGGGATTTCTGGGCTTTTTCTACTTAGTCAGGGGACTAGCCAAGGGCTATAGGTTCACAAGGAAAGACCGTCCCAGGAGTCCGGAGAGAAGTTAAGGGATGTTGGGTGGAGAAGGAAAAGCTATTTTGGATCGAAGCGTGCTCGCGCAAACACGATCATCACGCACACACACGCACGCACACAACCAGAGGCTCCCCGGTACCTTTCGTCCTTGCTTGCAGGTTAGCGAGACCTTCCCCACTCCCCATCCTCCTCCCATCCCGGCCTCGCCGGGTGGCTCCAGGGTACCAGCGCTCTTCAGGGGCAGAGCACTCGGAGCCACGCGGGGAAGGTGTACCAGGCGCAGGAGGAAGGGATCTGGAGTAGCATTCCGACGTGGTGCAATCGTTACAGCCCCTGTGGCGGCGCCTTCCGGGCCTCGGCGCGGACCCCCACCCGCCGCGGGCTCACCTGCACGATCTGCCGGGGCTGCACGCTCAGCGTGGGGAAGTTGCCGCGCCCGTGAATGGGAATGGGCTCGCTCAGCAGCGCGTCCAGCCGCTTCACCTGCGGCCAGCTCAGCCCGCTCAGGTGCCGTCCCAGCGAGGCCAAGGAGGTCCCCGGGTCGGGGCCGCCGCCTGCCGCGGCAGCCGTGGCCACCGCGGCCACCGCCGAGGCTGCAGCCGCCCCCACCTGCGCGGCCGCCTGGTCCGGGCACTCAGCTCCGCTCTCCGACGGCATCGTTCGCCTGGCCCCGGGGCCTCGACGGCAGAAACCCGGGGGTGGTTTAAGGGAGGAGAGCAGGGAGAGCGGCTGGGCCCCGGGCCAAGGCGGAGGGCGGGGGATGCAGGAATGGGGCGGGCAGCGACGGCGAGGCAAGCCCGAGGCTCACACCTCCGACGGCGACGACTTACCGACCCAGAAAGCCTGGCACTCCGGACTCAGCGGACTCTTATAGGCCGCGGGCGACATGCCCATTGGTCGGCGCAGCTGTCACACACATTAGGACCCGCCCCACTCCCCACGATCCTGTCATTGGTCAGCAGGGCTCTGCACGTGAGTGACTGTTTTCTGAGGGGATTTCTAATTGGCTGAAAAGCACACCTCTACCCCGCCCTCCTCCGGCAGAATTCCCTCCTTTGGTCTTTAAAGAACTACTAAGCGTAAGCGTGATTGGCCTGGGCCCCCCTGGACTTAAAGGGACTGTGTCGCTCTCCCCCAGCCCCAGGCAGGAGGGAAGGAAGTGGTCGGTGGAGTTTGTAGCCGAGTTGCACCACTGAGAAATCTCGTTTTTTTTTTCTTTTTTCTTGTACTGGGAGCAATTAAAAAAAAAAATCACCTATCCTGATTCTGGTCATCCACTTTCTTCAGGCGCCCAAAGAGATTGCTCCACTTGCTCAACTCTCCACACTGCTTTCTGGCAATTTTCCAGATCTAAGAAAAGGTAGCGCAGAATGTGTGGACGTCTTGTGTATTTTCTCTTTTTTGGCGGCTGCAAACCAAGAGCCTGACTGACGTTCCTGAGCTAGTCTAGGTGAGGTGAACTATGCTCAGAGAGGGAATGTTGATCCTCTGACGCCACACAGTTCTAGTATAGTGTTAGTTCTGGTCCAGAATCAGAGGTGGATCTCTCTGTGGAGTCTTCTCATTCCATTGTGTCTGTGCCTGGGTACAGGGACTGTGTGGGGCTGAAGGAGGGATAATAAGTTTTTCTCTCCTACTGAGGCTTGAACTCAGGGCCTTCTGTTTTTGTTTTTGGTCCGGTCATGGGGCCTGGACTCTGGGCCTGGGCGCTGTCCCTCAACTCTTCAGCTCAAGGCGAGCGCTCTACCACTTGAGCCACAGTGCCACTTCCGGCTTTTTTCTTTTTCCTTCTGTGGTGCTGAGGAATCGAACCCAGGGCCTCAAGCATACAAGGCAAGCGATCTACTACTGAGCCACCTTCCCAGCCCCTAGGGCCTTCTGCTTTTTGCTTGGCTTTTTTTGTCTTGGGGCTTGAATTCTGGGTCTGGGTGCTGTCCCTCAAGCTCTTCAAGTTTAAGGAGAGTGCTCTATCGCTAGAGCCACAGTGCCATTTCCGGCTTTCTAGTGGTTAATTGGATATAAGAGTCACATGGACTTTCCTGCCTCCTCTAGCTTTGAACCGATCCTCAGATCTCACCTGAGTAGCTAGGATTACAGGCTTGAACTGCCAGTGCTCGGGGCTTTTTGCTTTGCTTCTTTGCTCCAGGCTATAGCACTTTTTTTTTTTTTTTGCTTGAACCACGCTTCCACATTCAGTTTTCTGGTAGAAATTGGAGATAAGAGCATCTCATTTTGTCTGGCTCAGGCTAGTTTAAGCCTTGGTCCTCAGATCTCAGCCTCCCAGATAGCTAGGATGACACGTGTGAGCCACCAGTTCGTGGTTTCTCCCCACCCATGTCTGATTTTACATATATACACTGTGACAAAAGTCCAGAAATTAAGTCTATTTGATCTATCACTGCAATATTTTTCTCAAAGATCCTTCTTCTAATTATATGTTAAATTAATTATAATTTGTGCAATCTTCTCCCATTCTTAGGTAAGGCAAGCTGGAGTAATATGACCAGTGAAGGAGAAATCTAGATCTAGAAACAGCAAACTAGGGGTTGGGAATGTGGTTTAGTGGTAGAGTGCTTGCCTAGCATGCATGAAACCCTGGGTTCAATTCCTCAGCACCACATAAACAGAAAAAGCCAGAAATGGCGCTATGGCTCAAGTGGTAGAGTAAAACAAAGCTCAAGGATAATACTCAGGCCCTGAGCTCAAACCCGGGGATTGACAGATTAAAAAACAAACAATCAAAAAGAAATAGCAGGCTGGGCGTTGGTAGCTCTGGTTGGTTACTCTGGAGGCTGAGATTTGAGGATCCTGGTTCAAAGGCAATCTGGGTAGGAATGTCCATGAGACTCTTATCTCCAATTAACCACCAGAAAACTGGAAATGGCACTGTGGCTCAAGTGGTAGAGCTCTTGCCTTGAATTGAAGAGCTGAGGGACAGTGCCCAGGCCCAGAGTTCAAGCCCCAAGACTGGCAAAAATAAAAAATAAAGAAAAAGAAAGAAACGGCAAACTACATTCCAAAGTCTGCCTCTGACACACCTGTGCTTAGAACCTTAACCAGAGCAGATATTTCCTCTTTCTGGAGGCCAGCTCAGGCCATAAGCTGCCTTTATCCTGGAAGCCTTAGGGCTTCCTTTGGCCCTCTGAGAGGAGACTGGCTGCTTGGCTATGTGACCTTGCACAACTCCCTTCCATTCTCAGTGCCGTTGCTTGTTCTGGTGTCTAGACTCTCAAGGCACCCTGAGACTATGGATGAGTGAGCCTAAGGTCCAAACATGACACTCTGTTACCCTGCTCTCCTGGCCCCAAGAGAAGGGGGAATAAAAAAAGGAAGTTAACACATACTGAATACCCACTGTGAAACAGATCGAGTTACATACATGACTTCTGATTCCACTTGAGGATGCTGGAGCATCACTCTCAATATTGAGAGGTCAAGTCATATGTCCAATGTCAGAGATACAACCATTAATTGGAAATATGGGCTCAAATTCAAGTCTTCTGACTCCAAGGTTCTTTTTTTGTTTGTTTGTTTGTCAGTCGTGGGGCTTGAACTCTGGGCCTGGGCGCTGTTCCTCAGCTCGTCAGCTCAAGGCAAGCACTCTACCACTTGAGCCACTCAGCCACTTCTGGCTTTTTCTGCTTATGTGGTGCTGAGGAATCGAACCCAGGGCCTTGAGCCACAATGCTATTTCTGGTTTTCTAGTGGTTTATTGGAGATAAGAATCTCATGGACTTTCCTGCCCAGGCTGGCTTTGAACCTTGATCGTCAGATCTCAGCCTCCTGAGTAGCTAGGATTACAGGTGTGAGCCACTGGCGCCAATCTTGGCAAGGTTCTTGATCTTCTAGAATGTTGTAAGGTAGAAAGACAATAGTGAAGTAAATAAGACATTTCAGATTGGTATCTAAGAAGAAGATAAAACAGGGTCATGGGAGATAACTTATGTGTGTGTACGTGTGTGTGTGTGTGTGTGTGTGTGTGTGTGTGTGTAAGAATGAGAAAAAAAGAATGAGAGAGCTAGGAAGACTATGTAAGAGAGAGGCAGAGAGAGCTGTGTGTGTGTGTGTGTGTGTGTGTGCGTGCCTGCAAGCTGGTACTGGGGCTTGAACTCAGGGCTTGGGTACCATACCTTAGCTTTTTTGCTTTACCACTTGAGCCACAACTCTACTTCCTGCTGTTTTGGTGGTCAGTTGGAAGTAAAAGTCTCATAAATTTCCTGGGGCATGGGCTGGGAAGGTGGCTCAGTGGTAGAGCGCTTGCCTTGCATGCATGAGGCCCTGGGTTCAATTCCTCAGTACCACATAAGCAGAAAAAAAAAAAAAAAGGCTGGAAGTGGTGCTGTGGCTCAAGTGGTAGAGCGCTAGCCTTGAGCTGAAGAGCTGAGGGACAGCGCCCAGGCCCAGAGTTCAGGCCCCACAATTGACCAAAAAAAAAAAAAAAAGAACTCAGTTATCCAAGTGGGAAGAGATGAAGAATCCCAGCTGGGCTCCCCAAGGGCAGGTGGCACAAGACCAGCACAGGTAAATGTGAATGCTTTCCGTCAGCTCTAGGTCTCTCCCTAGACCATAATACCAAGTGGGTTGAAGAGTGAAGCTGGGGTGTCAGACATGGACATTCTCAGAAACCTCAAGTGCTTCACACACGGTCCTGAAAGTGACCAGGCAGCATTCCTGCCCTTGGTGACGCTGCAACCCCGCCTGGCTGCCAAGTCAGCGCTCAGCTCTGGGGTGGGTTGTTCTGCCTCCCAGGGAATTACGGCAAAGAATGCACCTAAGTGCTGAGGAGGCAAGCGCAGTGGGGCAATCTGAGGCGGGCCACTCCCTCCAGGAAGACTTCCGGGAGGGGTTGCCATGGCAACGGGGTGGAGGGGAAGCAACTAGCCATCAGGAACATTTGAATGGAGGAGAGGTGCATGGGTGGTTAGGTAAGGTGTGAATGCCAAGCACTGGACCTCACCAGAATCGTTGGGGCTGTGTGTAGCTCAGTGGTACAAGGTGTGTGCAGCACCCACAAGGCTCTGGATTCATCTTTTTGTTCTACATTGCCATGTTCACTTGGCTTACCAAGTGAAGTCACCTGCTTAAAGATGACACAGAAGTGTCATCTTAAGTGTCTTTCAAAAACAGAAAAGAAAGAGGTAGCCTGTCCCCTTTGTTGTTTGCAATACTGGGGAAGAACCCAGGCCTTCTTATATGCTAAGAATGTTCTGTCCTACGAAGCTGCACCCCAGCCCAGCCTAGCCTCTATGACGTTCAGTTCCGGGGTTCAAAAGGAACAGACTGGAAATTAGTGTTCTAATCCTCCCTCCCTTTCAAAATTTCAAAGTTGAGAGTGACCCTGAAATCACTAAGGCCCCAAGCAAGAACAAGAGGAAAGAAAGTGGGGGCTGGGGAAATTCCTGGCCCAAAAGGGCGAGGGGCTGCAGTCCAGCTAGGGGGACTTGCTAGTGTTCAGCCGGCAACTGTTCATGTAGCCAATGAGAGAAGTAGACCAAAGCCCTTGGTTCAAGGACCCTGCTAGACCTGCAGAGCAGACAGCCCCCTCCCTTCATCCCAATAGAGCTGACGGGGCTTTCCTCAGTGCCAAGGCCTCCTCCTGAGCCGGTGCCTACCCCAGGGCACGGCAGCTGGCGTGGTGAGTAGGAAGCAGTACCCTC